CTGCACTACAGTCTGGGCGACAGAATGAGACTCCAACTCAAAAAAAAAAAGAAGATTTATTGCAGAGACGAGGTCTTGCCAAGTTGCCCAGGCTGGTCTCGAACCTGTAGGCTCAGGTAGTCCTCTTACCTAAGCCTCCCAAAGAGCTGGGATTACATGTTTGAGCAACTGTGCCCGGCTCAATAATGTATTAAAAACATTATTCTATGTCATTAAATTGCATATCTGAAAGATGGTTATTAATAGCTGCTTTTGTAGTGAGAACTAGAGTCACAGGAAAAGTGATGAAATTAAAGATAAGTCAGGTTCCAAAAGGCGCCTCTCAGTCGCAAGGGAAACTAGAGGTCAGAAAGATCAAGACTCTTCATCTGAGGAAATCACAAAATGTTGAAAAAAGATGAGGTCACAGGAAAGATTGGGAGGAGGAGATATTAGTACAGGATGTGGGAACTTCACATTTATAGCCCTCCTGCAGCCAGCATCAGGGTTCCCCAGCTTTGCAGTCAGAGACATTCAGTCCCTTATGCCACTGCAGGATGTGTCCTTTGTCTACTGAAAACTACTCTCTTAGAAAAGACAGTTAAAGCTCCCAGTGACAAAAGTGACCTATCTTCTTCAACAGTTCTCCACTGGATTTGATATCAGGCCTTGTCAGCATACACAGACTTTGTGTCAATTAGGAAGGGGGCTACCCCTTCCTGGAAACCCTGTAGCCCTGTACTGGTGCACAGGATTTGGGAGGAGAACATTCGTTTAGGCCCTACTCTAGTCCTTGGCCAGGTACCTTTATGCAAAGCATTACCTGTACAATGTCACACAATGGGCTTGTCTGATATGACTCCTGCTGATTTACATGAGTTTCCATTGGGCCTATACAAAGATAATTGTAAACTCTCCAACGCTCACTGCCTGCCCAATTCTAGAACTGCTCTGCCCTACCCCACCGACCCACTCCTCCCAACTAAGCCAGTGGCACACAAACCATCCTACAGAGCTTTGCCCCCATAATAACAATTTTTTTCTGAGCCAGAGTCTCACTCTGTCACTCACACTGGAGTACAGTGGCACGCTCATGGCTACAATAGCCTAGACCTGCTGGACTCAGGAGATCCTTCCGCCTCTGCCTTCCAAGTAACTAGAACTACAGGCATGCACCACCACACCTGGCTTTTTGATTTTTTTGTACAGATGAGATTTTGCTATGTTGCCCAGGCTGGTGTTGGACCCCTGGGCTCAGGCAATCCTCTCGTCTCAGCCTCCTGAAGTGCCTGGATTACAGGTGTGAGCCACTGTGCCTGGCAACAAATTATTAGTATAGCTACCATTTTTTTTTTTTTTTTGAGTTGGAGTCTCACTCTGTCGCCCAGACTGGAGTGCAGTGGCCGCTTCCGGCCACCGCAGCCTCGCCTGCTGGGCTCCAGCGATCCTTCCGCCTCAGCCTTCCGAGTAGCTGGAATTACAGGCATGCACTACCACGCCCGGCTGATTTTTTGATTTATTGTAGAGATGAGGTCTCACTGCCCAGGCGGGTCTCGAACCCGTGGGCTCAGGCAATCCATTCACCTCAGCCTCCCAAAGGCACGGGATTACAGGCTGAGCCACCGAGCCCGGCAGCTACCATTTTTAATGTGTATAGTGCTAGCTGGGCGCAATGACTCTTGCCTGTAATCCTAGCACTTTGGGACGCTAAGGCGAGAGGATGCATGATCCTACAGGCTCGAGACCAACCTGGGCAACATGGTGAGACCGCCATCTCTACAATAAATCAAAAAATCAGATGGGTGTGGTGGCTCATGCTTGCAGTTCCAGCTACTTCAAAGGCTGAAGCAAAAGAATCGCCTGAACATAGCAGGTCGAGGCTGTGGTGGCCGTGAGCTTGCCAGTGCACTCCAGCCTGGGCGACAGAGTGAAACTCCGACTCAAAAAAAAAAGTGTTTAGTGCCGTACCAGACCCTGTGCTAAGTGCCTAACATGCATTATTGTATCCTCACAACAACCTTATTAGGTGGTTTCATTTATTATCTCCATTTTACAGACATGATAACTGAGAAAAGTGTAACTTGCCTGAGTTAATGTCACAAATAATGAGTTGGAGAGACTCAACTCTGGTTGGTCTGCTTTCTATAGCCATTTCCTGAGCACTTTCTGTGTTTAAAAACAGTGCTCTAAACGTAAGGGAGGATGGAAAAAGACATAAAGAAGCTCTTTCCTTGAAGTTTAGGAAGGAATATGACAAGTAAATGAATCATCAATACAAGGCATGTTCCTGTGAAAAGGTCAGTTACCTTATGATTGGGAAGATGGTAGAGTCTTTGGAGAAGAGATAGAATGTGAAATAAGCTTTAATTAGGGTTTTGACAAAAGATGGTTGGGAGACAGCATTTAGAGAGAATAGCATGAGGAAACATATGAAGGATGACATAGGCAAGGAACAACCTACAGTCTAGCATGTGGAAGTAGGGTTTAGGAGAGTTGAGGCTGATAAGACCATCATGTTATATGACTTTACTACCTAACTGAAGAACTTGGTTGGGTGGATAGGGTACATGGATAGGTTTTGAGTAGAGTGATGACAGGTTTGGGGTCTCAACTTGAAAAATGTAATCTTGTAGTTACCTGTTGTCAAATTCCCTAGAGAGACAAAAATCATTCCCAGTGGAGAACCATGCAATAGAATATATGAAAAATAAAAAAAAAAAGGGTGGATGTTAGACATGGTAGGGGTAAGATCTAAAAGCTCTGGCAAGTGTTTGGATAGGAGTGTAACTGAGAAAGAGAGCACTTTGATAGCTCAAACTGAAAAGGTCCTAGAGGCCATGCACTGCATGAAGTCTAATATGCTTATCATTGCTTGATATATATACATGGTTTTCTTTTGAGATGGAGTTTCATTCTATGTCTAGGCTGAAGTGCAGTAGCATGCTCACAGCCACCGCAGCCTCGACCTGCTGGGCTCCAGCGATCCTTCTGCCTCAGCCTTCCAAGCAGCTGGAACTACAGGCGCGCGCTACCACACCCGGCTCATTTTTTGATTTATTGTAGAGATGAGGTCTCGCCAAATTGGCCGGGCGGATCTCGAACCCACGGGCTCAGGCAATCCACTCACCTCAGCCTCCCAAAGGCATGGAATTACAGGCTAAGCCAACGAGCCCGGCTTTTTTTTTTTTTTTTTTTTGAGTTGGAGTCTCACTCTGTTGCCCAGGCTGGAGTGCACTGGCAAGCTCACGGCCACCCCAGCGTCGACCTGCTGGGCTCCGGCGATCCTTCCGCCTCAGTCTTCCAAGTAGCTGGAACTACAGGTGCGCGCTACCACACCCGGCTAATATTTGATTTATTAAAGAAACAAGGTTTCGCCAAGTTGCCCGGGCGCCCGGGCTGGTCTCGAACCCACAGACTCAGGTAATCCACTCGCCTCGGCCTCACAAAGTTCTGGGATTACAGACTGAGCCACCGAGAGCCCGGCCTGTGAAACTCTTAAGATAGGGCACAAATCAATGAAGTCATCTGCAGAGTTGCGTACCGGGTGGGCCAGAGTTTAAGCAGAATTTCGGCCTTTGCTCGAGAGCATTCCTTGAAAACGAGAACAGTAAGCTTTCGTGGGAAGCTGCTGGGAAACGCCTGTTCAGAAACGAGGCGGTCCAAGGAACACTGCTATACGCAGAGCCTGGAAGGAAGGAAAATCCTAGTCACTTGATCTTTGCCTTGCCCTCCGAAAGCGGAACCCCTGTTTGCTGGCAGCGGTTTTGCAGCTGTCGCGCGTAGCCGTCTTTCTTGCCGGTGACGTAGGCGAACAGGGCGGCGGAGGGACGGGGTGGAGGGCTAGCGGAGCGGTGGGCGTGGCCATCTCTGAGGCAGCTGAGGCTGCGTCCCCTTCCCAGAGTGCACCGCAGCCGCTCCGGCCTGGGGGAGGCTGGTCCCGGCATGGAGGGACTCCGGGCTGGCGCGGGGCTGTTGCGGCGCGGGCGGCCTAGGCGCCGGCGCCAGCCGCAGCCGCATGGCGGGTCGGTCCTGGCCCTGCCCTTGA